TTTTTTTTTTTTTTTTTTTTTTTTTTTTTTTTTTTTTTTTTTTTTTTTTTTTTTTTTTTTTTTGCCTTTCGTATTAGTTAAACTTGAAACAATTTTCATGGTTCACTAGAAATGATTTTCAAGCTACTCTTAATATAATTTATATATAATTTATTAGACTTATACATCTATCATCGGCCATAACTGAGCTATACTTCAAACAATTCCCACTCAAAAAACCGTAATTAGATAGACCTGTGAATTGAAATCGATCACTAATATTTCCTCGAAACAATTTTCAAGCTACTCTTAGTATAAATTACTAGATTTCTAACTCTCATCCACCGTCCACATAACTAAGCTATACTTTATAGAACTCACACATAAAAAAAACTTAATCAAGATAAACTTATGAATTATTTCCTTGAAACGATTTTCAAGCTACTCTCGGTATAATTTACTACATTTAAAACTCTCATCTAACATCTGTCATAATTCCGCTATACTTCACGAAACTCCACACACACAAATAGACTTGTGAATTAAAATCAATTACTAATATTTCAGCTAAACAATTTTTAGTATAATCAAGTTACTCTTAATATAATTACTAGATTCATAACTTGCATCTATCATCATCCATAACTGAGCTATACTTTACCGAACTTGCACACACAAAAAAACTCAAGAAATCGATCACTAATATTTCCTCTATTTCATCTATGACTGAGCTATAATTTACATACAAAATTCAGTTTCCATGAAGAGGAATCTCCCACGAAGATTGGAACTATAAGATATGCATATAATAAAGGGATAAAAGAAGATGGCAGAATTTTAATGAACCAGATTCATGAGGCAATGCCTCTTTCCTGTAATCTAACATCTCCTAAGAACACCCATAGAATGGCACACAATACTCCAAGAATTGAAAATAAAAAGAATCCCTTATTCGTACCCGTTCTCCTCGCGCTAGTTTTGGGATTACCTACGGCGACATTGGCGTTAAAGGTGTTCAGGGTATTTAGTCTCAATCTGCTAAAGCTAGACATCCTCTGAAAAGTGCGGTTGACGTTCTCGGAAGCTGAAGCGGGGGTGGTCGGTATCGACTCTACAAAGGCCCACAAATTGGAAGAGAACTTACTTGCAGAACTGCCTCCACCGTTTGCTATTTGGTTATCCCTTATTTCTGGTGCTGCAGAACTTACAGATTCATATCCCACACCTAAACAAGACCAGAAAGTTTCAGAATTAGCAACTGCCCTACTGCTTCACATTGATAAAATGGCACCTGGAATTGGCACCAAAATGGCAGTTTATGATGAGGTTGACAAGTATAATTGGAGAATAGCTCCTTTCGAATCAGTGAATTCGATAATGTACGAGAAGAATACTCAATGTACGAGAAGAATACTCGTTCTAGGTATCTGTCGAAGCTGGCTCAATATTTCACAAGAGGGGTCTCTTGCCATTTGAAGTATAGAATGGCTTATCAAACAAACCCCACTTATCTGAACAAGAGCCCTGTGTCGATGAGCTAATCGAGCCAGCAACTTCGCGAAAATCGAACAGAAAGAAACAGCTTAGTAAAAGTAGACTGCTTAATGTTTGCTAAAACTGGGCAGATATCAAGTTTGAGCTGAATTATATACCTAAATTTGGTTGAGTACCAAACTGTTGATGCGGTTCTGGGAAGCTGAAGGAATTTTCTGTCTCATTCTCCCAGAACCCATTGCCCATCTGATCATATTGCAAATGGCCATTCACATCGTTAGCAACAATAATACCACCGTCAGCACTCAAATATGGATCTAAAAATGTTTCTGGGACGACAGGTCCCAAGTCGCGAAGAAACATATTTGCATCATGGAACAGCTCTAATTCGTTCAATCCATCGAACTCTGAATTTCCCAAGGGGTTGACATTAGCCACGAGAGTTGGCTCAGGACCAATGAGATCATCAATCTCCAAGAAATCTTCTTCTTCACCATATTTGGGAGCCGATGATACCTCGCTCTCAAAGGATTGCAATTGGAAGAGACCTGCCTGGGTAAATTGGAAGCATGGATGCAAATCACTTGGCTGGCCACTTAAGTTTAATACTTTATCCGCTTCAGGAAGTATGTGATTCTGAGAGTAAGTATCAATCATAGTACTTGCAGTTCCTTCTTTGTCATCAACCTAAACAGACAAATAAAGTACACAAATCATAAGCTAACTGATAAACTGAACAAATAAAGCATATAGAGAAAGGAATGGCCGACAAAATATCTAATGAAATACAGCATATATGTCATATATGTCAAAGCTTCTAAATATTATGGACAATAGACACTTAGAAGTTTAGATATGCAGTTCATACGTTCCGATGTTCCCAATTCCTACAGCTATATGATCAATCGAATAAGAAACATTTTTTATCTCGAAGTGATGACCAGTCTATTCACCAAGGTAAATTAACATGGGAATGGGAACAGAATATCGGAACGCAATGTTCAGGGCAGCCAACCTGCACGACCGAGTCAAATTGATGATAACCACTGACTGATGGCAACTCTAGGACAGGATCATTTGTAAATTGTTGCAAAAGTTCCTCAATATCATCTGATGAAAGCTGTATTTGAACGTTCGCTCTTTCACGATCGACAGAGGTAACCTCATCAAGTATGTTCACTTGTGGCTCCTGACCGTCGGAGTGAACTAAAACTTGGCATTCACCATCATTCCAATTTTCTTCTTTAAATGGTGCTCCATATTGCTCACCATTTTTAGGACCAGGTCCACTTTTCTTGTAAAGTTTGTAGAGAGCATAGTAATCCTGCAACAAAGGCTTAAGATTAGTAAAACAAGATCTTGTAAGAAAATAATAAGCAAGAGAAGAGCTTAAACACACTGTTACCTTTACATTCTTACATCTCTTGAGCTCATCTTCATCCAAGGTATACTCATGCATAACCCAGTCAGTCCGCTCACCATTAGGGGCACGGCCTTGATAGAACACCAGGGTCTTCTTCACACCAACATTACGTGAATTGTACTTTATTATTCGATCCTTTCCCGTGACCTTCCAGTGGCCATTTCTTGTAGCTCTACTTAATCTAGATGCATTTGGATATCTACGTTCCCTAGGACTGAAAAAGAACCATTGTCTATCACCAGTTTTTAACTTAGATTGACCTGCATTCATTTATTCATGATCAGAAAAACTAGCAATATTCATTAATATCCAAAAACATAGAGCAAGACTTGCATTTCCAGAGAGAGGGAAACCGACTTTCTAAAATTATGGGAAAAAAGATTATTATCGATAATCAGTTACCATATAGATGATGAATTGGCTATATCAATTAAATTCCTAATCCAAAAACAAGGGGCTTATGTCTTCGGCTAGTACATGATTCCTTCCAGTAATAAGAACTCATTGAATAAAAATGATTCATAAGAAAAACAGAAGGAGCAACAAGAAATAGCTACAACTACGATTTACGAGAATAGATACGTGACATATAGAAACAACCAAACGGGAAAAATGTACCGAAAGATGCAATTTAAATTTGATGAAGAACTTGAGTGATCTTCTGAACAAAGCTTTGACTTCTAGCAAAGCAAAATCAGCAAACAAAGAAACTAATCAAACGAAAATCACGCAAATAGGTACAGAAAGATCCCAAAATCCATCCTCAACAGTTAAATAAAATCAATCTACAGCAAATTCAATCAAACACAGAATAGGTCAAAGATAAACCACAAGATCATCAATCGATCAGATTAAGCGCGGAAAGGAAAGTTTATTTACCAGGCAACTCCCCGGGTTCCCACTTGTAAACATCGATCTCGCGAATGATATCGAGCTTCAATTTGCGTCTACAGACTTTGAACTTTAAGTAATACAGAACCAGCTCCTCATCTGTCGGGTGAAACCGAAACCCTGGCGGCCAATCCCCCTCGTCGCACAATCCCATCGACGACGACACGGTTGACATCAAATCGCTTACGAACAACACCTCAATAAAATAAATAAATAAATAATCAAAACTCCTAATCCAATGACAAAATCGTTAGCGAGGGCGAAAAAATTCGCTCCAAAACTCGACGAATCCACACAACCAAAATTGAATTTGGGAAAGATCGGCAGACTCCGACCACCAGCGACGGTCGAAAGACCGTCGTAGGGAGAAAAAAAAATGAGAGAGATGGCGGAGATGGGCTGATTTGGTCAAACCAAGTAATGGGGATGAAGCAGCGAAGAGAGTGGTGGCGGGTTTCTTATTATTACGGTAATACGCGGAAACTTCCTGAAGTTATCGGATATTTTATTATTATTATTTTAATTAGGTTTAAATCTTTTTTTGTTATATATGTTATAATTCTTTTTTTTTATTATTTTAATTATTGATTTTAGGTTAATTTTAATTCTTTAAAATTTTTATGAGAGACTACATTATAGAAGAGTGACTGTATCAATTTATATTTTTAATATCTCAACATAAATTATATATATAATGAAAAACTTTTAATTTTAAGATCATGACAATATTTCAAAAATAATTATTAACTTTTCTTATTATATAACATCAAGGGAAAATTATACCTTAATGATTAAGGTATATATTAATATTTGATTTTAAAAATTATAAAATATAGTATTTTGTTGAAATTATATTTAAAAATGAGAAAATAAAAGAATTTTAAAAATACAATAATCCGTACATAATTTAAATATTTTTATTAATTTATTGTCCTTTTTTTTTTTTTTGGAGCGGCGACGACCGGTGAGACTGAGTCAATTGCTTACACTGGACAATGGATCGATCAGTGTTGAGGTGGCAGGATATTAATGGCTTGATGAAAGATGGTGCTCGGATCACCGTTTGATTCGTTCAAACGAATGTTTCATGTAATTCGCGATGCACAGGATTATTTTGATTCACGGTGAAATATTCTTTAAAAAATTTAACAAACATATCTCATTTTAAACATTTGACCAAGTATTTATTTGCTTTGAATTTTAATTATTTTATAAATTTTAAAAAATAATAAAATATATATTATTTTCAACAATATTTAAAAATAAATAAAATTTATCTAAAGGTCTAGAAGTTCTATAGCCCTTAGGAAGAATCCTACCAAGTAGATTTTTACTTCACTTTTTAACAGTGACATTTGTATCTGTATTAGGAAGGTATTTTTTTTTTTTTTTTACTTTTTCTAAATAGGAAAAAGGGAAGTAAGCGATGAATAAAGACTTACCAGATTCATAGCACATTGTAGTTGTTCATTGCCGTTTTCTGTATGAATCTACCAAAAGCGTTTGACCCAAGTTACAAATTCTGTGTTTCATTATTCACAGCTGCGTTTCTTACTCGATCTCGACTCCTATGTTCCATTATTCACAGCTGCCTTCTTCCTCGGTATCGACTCCTATGTTCCATTATCCACAGCTGCCTTCTTCCTCGGTCTCGACTCACCCCATGCCTCGTAGACCTTGAATCAATGAAAGATCTAAATAATTCATACACTTGCGATATGGGCATTATTGTCTTTTTGAATATCATATCCGTTCACAAGTCATGTACCTCAACTAATCTCACAGAACGACGGTTTGATCCTCATAGGACATTAAATCCTAAGTAGGTGTTCACCTCGAATTGAACTCATTCCCCCACGCCTATTATAATAAGCCAACTCATGATGGGTGAGATACAAGATATTTTTCAAGAAAACGTCTCTATTTTAGAACCTTTGCGCCAATAAGTATCACCAATAATCTTTGCAAGAACACAAACCATCTTTAAACCGGTGAAATCGAGTTCGGTCCCTTACGAAAATTTCTCGATTATAACTCTTTGATATTAGCTTAATCACAACATGACAATCCCCACAAATCCTTAAATTCTTAATCACTTGGATTGGGGTCCCTTCTTCAGTACAAGATAATCCAAAGGCTACAGCAAGCTTCTCACTATGACAACACAGCACGTTCTCCTTGTCCTCCTCCTCAATATCATGCAATACATTACCAGTTTCAGCTGTATATCCAATGGCTTTGATCCTAAACATGATCTCATCAAGCTTTGCATAAATTTCACGGCAACTCGAATGGCTTCGATCGCCATAAAGAAATTTGTGCATATTACCTTTCACTTCTATGTAACTAAATCCAGGCGTCTTCTTCACATCCCTTCTTCTCATGGCATCCCTAACTCTCCCAACATCATCCCATCTCCGACGAGCAGCATAAACATTCGACAACAGAACAAAATCACCACAGCTAATAAAGCCCATCTCTACTAGCTTCCTAGATGCCATCTCTGCCATTTTTACATCCCCATAAGTCCTGCAAGCACCAAGCAAAGTCTGCCACAGAACCATATTAGGAAAAGGCATTGAACTTACAATTTCATAAGCTTCTTTCAAACGCCCGGCTCGACCCAACAAATCGACCACTACTCCGTAATGCTTTATATTTGGTGCCACACCCCTTTGCATCATTGAATTGCAGAGCTTAAGTCCATCCTCTATGAGCCCTGCGTGGTTACAGGCACATAGCACCGCTAGATATGATATTGCATCAGGACATATACCAGATCGACCCAACTTTTCAAAAAGATCTAACGCTTTGTATCCATCACCATGCATTGCAAATGCCATTATCATTGTATTCCATGTGATCAAACTTTTCTCACATCTCATGTTCTCAAACACCCAATAAGCTTTATCCACAGATCCACATTTAGCATACATATCAATAACAACATTACAAACCTGCACAATCGTGTCTAGATTCTCCTCTACTATGTATTTGTGAACATTCTCACCTTCTTTCAAAGTACCCAATTGGGAACACGCCGAGAGAGCACCTTGAACGGTTACTTCATTGGGCCTCAAATTCCCATCCTCCTTCATTCTCTTAAACAAGTCTATAGCATCGCTTGGTCGACCCCCCTGGGCAAATCCAGCAATCAGAGAATTCCACGAGGCGATATCTGGTTCTGGCATTTCGTCGAACACCTTCTGAGCCTGATCAAGATCCTCAACTTTTGCGTACGCATCAAGCAATGTAGTCTGTAGGAGAACATCAGCATCGAACCCAAATCGCAAGACCTGTGAATGCAATTGCATCACTTCAGAACGAGCCAACGCACGCGCACAAGCTTTGAGGGCAAAGGAGCAGGTGAGAGCGTCGACTCTATGAGGCCCATTTGACGCATTCATGGTTCTGTACCAGAAAAGGGCATTTGAGGGATTGGAGCTTAAGGCGGTGCCGCGAATGACGGCGTTCCAATCCTTGGTGGAAGGGGAGTGGACATGACGGAAAATATGGAGGGCATGAGAAAGGTCGCCGAAGGGGGAGATGGCGCAGAGCTCGAGAAGCTTGGTGCGAGAGGAAGAGAAGTGAAAATGGCCATTGGTGATGAGGTTTGCTTGGAGTTGCTTGATTTGCGAGAAGGAAGAACACTTCTGCAACAGGAGATCGAAGTAGGCCATTCGCCCTTCTCTCCGCAGTAAAAGGGCTCGCGACCTAAACTTGTTGGCTTTGCCTAAATTGTCAAACGGAGAAATGAAAATACTATATTTATTTATTTATTGCTCAAACAAATTCCTATTGGTTTTTAAATTAAAAAAAACAATTATAAGATTATAAAAAAAATTAAAAAATGTGTATCTAATTTCATCACACCCTACCTTGATAACTAAAGAATTCATATTTCATCCTAACATACAGGTTGGGAGCATAGCTTCCAAAATCAATTGATTAGAATCGAATATTAGTATGGTTTTACCTGGACTTCGTCGATGGATTGGAAACAACTTATAAGTTAAGAGCATAACTTCGAATTTTCATCCCCTAATCCCTATAAGATCAACTGATTGGAATTGAACATTAGTACAGCTCTACCTAAAAATCGTCGGTTGATTAAAAACAATTTACAAGTTGGGAGCATAACTTTGAATTTTCATCCTCTAATCCCTGTAAGATCAATTGATTGGAATGGAACATTAGTACGGCTCTACCTAGAATTCGTCTGTTGATTGGAAACCACTTACAAGTTAAGAATTAACTTCCAATTTTCATCATCTAATTCCTGTAAGATCAATTGATAAGAATCGAACATTAGTACCGCTCTACCTAAACTTCGTCGGTTGATTGGAAACAACTTACAAGTTGGAAGCTTGAATTTTCATCCTCTAATCTCGGTAAGATCAATGGATTGGAATTGAACATTAGTACGGCTCTACCTAGACTTCGTCCGTTCATCATTGACCAAAATAAGTTGAAATGAGAGTAGACGATCAAACCTAAACCCTGCCTTGGAGAAGAAGAAGCTAGGATTGAAGAGTTGATTAGGTTTCATCGAACGCTTGAAACTCCTTAGCTAACCTGAGATTGTTTCGATTGCTCCAGTGGCTTTATTGTCAAGAGAATGTTCGGCTCCGTCCCTTAATCCTTACAGCCCAAAAGTTCAGATGGCCACTTCAAAATCAGTAATACGGCGTCAGAGTTCAGACAACAACAGCAAAAGAAGCAATACTATTCCATATTTCAAACGGAATCCGGAATCAAAACTCATTGCGAGTCACAACAGAACCGAAAACGAGAATGCAGAGAAATGACAAAAGAACACGTATAAAAGCTTCTTGCAACACAGAAGAAGCACAGTGTTACTACAATGGAAAAATGCAGCAAATCAAACTATAACAGGTTGCATCGAAGCAGGAAAGAAACCCTAAAACCTTGGCAAAGTATACATTTCGTAACTGAGATTCAGAGGTTGAAAACGAGAAGAACCGGATGAAGTGAAATTCTTGAATCAATTTCGAAGGCGGGAACGTATTTATAGGGCAAGCAAGCATATCCGGTACGTACGCTCTCTGTCATGGGCTTAAATTCGAGGCCCATAATTGCTTCGAAGCCCACATTATCAACATATCCAGACCATATTTTGGGCCTCAGTATTTCGCCTTAACAGACGGCCTTTTTTAATTTTCTTTAATTTTCTTTTATTATTATTATTATTTTTGTTAGAGAACGAAATGTGGATTTCTCAAATTTATATAAATATCTATCAAAACACCGATAAAAATCTGAACAAATATACATTTAAAACAAAAATAGTTATATTTTTAAATAACTTAAAATAAATATTATATTGCCATTAATTACATTTTATATTTTTTTATTGCATTTATAAATAATATATATATATATATATATAATACGACGAACAAGAATAAAGGTGGATTAAGGGTTGGAGAAGCTAAACTACCCGACAAATTATTTTTAATATAATATTTGTAAGTAAATAATTTAAAACTAATATTTTTTTCTTTATCGAACATATATAGCTCAGAGTCGAGCAACAACAAAAAAAGGTTCATATTACAAATAGCAGTATCAAAACCACCCACTACTGCTCTCGAGAAAATATCAATTTTGACCTATGACTCGAAATAAAATTTTAGTACAAGTTTTCTTTTTTTTCAGAAAGAATATATAAAGACTTATTTAGTTCGAGAATGTCGGTTTGGGACCCTTATGGATTAACTAGAAGGGTATAAACGGTAAATATGTTGAATGATTTGATCGTTTTGTTCTCGAGAGTAATTAGTCAACCTTAGACTTTTCTAATTTTTTTTATTGACCAGCTTTTTTTTTTTTTTTTTTTTTTGACTAAAAAAT